GCGTGCGTTCTGTACACTTCACTTCCCACTGACTGACAGCAACAGATCGATAATTATTTAGAAGTATAGAATTTAATTATATTCTCTCCAGTAAATCGCATTTGGATGGCGGTGGTTTCTGGAGAAAAGTAATCAGCAGAATGGACAGAAACGATTACCTACCATTCTGATTTCTCTTTTTCTAATGCCAGCGGAGGCTCATTTCCGAATTGTATTCAAGTCTTGTGATCCTAACTCGGGCGGGGAGGGGGCGGGGAGAGGGAGGACGTGTTGGCCATGGAGAAGGCCGCCCTGGTGGCTGCCTGGCGTTCTGTGCTTTTGGGAGGCGGGATGAGCCCTTCGGCGTGGGTCGCACAGTGGGCATACGGTAAGTCTGGTGTCACGAGGAGCTCCGGTGGGGTAGGCCTGGCCGTGGCCGCGGAAGCAGGAGGCCACGCCGCCCTCCCGTCTGTAGCCCGCCTTGACGACAGCTCGCTGCCGGTCCTCCGGTCTGCGGCCCGTCCCTCGTGCTGAGGGGTCACCACGGCGACGTGGGTGGATCCAGACTCTGCTCTGCTCAGGGCAACGAGTCGGAGAGACAAGGACCATGAGCTCACGTGTCCGTGGAATCTAAGGAGCAAATAAATGAACAGACTCGTAGATGCAGGGAACACACCGAGGGGTGCCAGTGGGAGTGGGCCTGGGGACTGGGGGAGCACGAAGGGATTAAGAAGCACAAACTGGGGGGAAATAGTCACGGAGGTGTGAAGGGCAGCACGGGGAACGTAGTCAATTAACTGTGTGGCGTCAGGTACTAGACTCATTGTGGGGTCACTTGGTAAGTTATAGAAACATCTAGTCGCTGTGCTGGTCGCCTGAAACTAACAAAATAGTACTGACTGTCAGCTGTGATGGAGAAACATCCAGTCAGCACAAACATTTTTAATAATGAAAGTGTCACCAGCCCCTCTCCGGTCACTGTTTAACGAAGAGCTGTCGACGCTGCGTAAACAGCTCCATCGGGGCCAGCGCAGACCTCGCCTCAGCATTCCCTGCGGGGCACGTCGGATCTGTGGTGGGCGGAGTCCCGTGGCGGGGCCACTCTTGCCTGGTGCCCTGGGAGAGGCGACGGCAGGCGGAAGCCACATCACTCCGGTCCTTCAGAACAGACTGTGAAGGCCACCATGGGTCCCCTGCGTGGCTGGCTGGGCCGCCTCTGCCACAACTGGCCCACGGGAGAGAGTGAGTTCAGGGTGGTCCCGTGTGTGAACTGGTAACTTACAAAGGCAGGAAAAGTCAGTTTGCTTCCTTAGAAAAGGACAAACTGGACTGAACCCCTTCCCTTCTCCGTGCTCAGCGTCATTGCAGGTGCACCGAGTCCCCACCCGGTTTCCATCCTAAACAGAAGCCGCCGCGCAGAGTATGGGAGGAGGGGTCCCCAGTGTGCGAGACCCCAGTGTGTGTGACGCCACACGGGTTGCCACGTCTCATTTTGAAACAGGCCTAGGAAGAGCCTGCGTCACACACGGCACCAAGGCGGCTGAGTGCAGTGGGGTCAAACACAGCTCGGTGCGGTGCGGGGCCTGCTTCTCCCGCCAGCCTGCCCGGCCCGAAGCCGAGGCCAAGGTGCGAGTTCCAGGCTTCGCGGCCAGAGCCCCGGAAGGCTGGACACCCTGTGGCCTCAGGAGACCGGCTCCGCCTCGTGGGGTGCAGAGAGGCTGCCCTCGGCCCGGCCGGATGGGCACCGGGCAAGGCCGCTGAGCTGTGGCGTCCCCGAGCTCTGCCCTAGCGTCCCCGTCACAGGCTTCTGCGCAGGGTGTGCTCGAGCTGCGGACCTGGCTCCCTGACTCTCATCCTCTTGTCACAAACCTCTGTCTGGACCTGTTTGTGCCAGTTCGAAAGCGGGGCAGGAGGTGGGCAGAGCCAGGGGCCAGGCCCGAGCCCCCAGACGTGCTGGGGAGGACCTGGGAGGGCGTGTGGGCCGTGGCTCAGCAGCGCGTCAGGCTGGAGACCCACAGGTGTTCATTGGGGTGACACATGCCGAGAGCGGGGGCCGCCAGTGGCAGTGTGCCCCAGACGCAGGCCAGGGCTTGGAGCCTGTCCTCTGGAGTGCCAGGGCCGTCCCAGGGCACGGCCCCCCGCTGCATGGAGCCAGGATCCAGACAGCACTGCCTGCGAGGCCTGTCCCTGGACCCCACGGCCAGAAGCTGGTGGCAGCCTGCAGTCCTGGTGGTCCACGCTGGTTTCTGGGCTCGCCCAGCAGAGGTTGAGTTTCTCCCTCCGGTTCCAGAACGCCTCCGGCTTCGGGAGATGCTGGGCCTGGGCAGACGCCCCAGACACACGCCCGGCCTGCCCTGCCCCAATGGGCAGGGTCCCTGGGCACCTCCGAGGCCTTCTCAGTCCTGGACCCCAAGTTCCACACGGCGGCCCTGCCCCGCGAGTGCTCTAAGTGGCGCGGGTCTCCACGGGGTCAGCGTGGGCCTTTGATGTTTGTAAGAAAACTACGTGTGGCTTGGACGGCCACGTGGCTGCCAGACTGCAGAGCGGGGCTGGCGACGACTCAGCAATTCCGCCGCGGGTTCTCCAGCCGCCAGAGTGCCGGGCCCGAACCACATCTCCATAACCTGGCCGCCTGCGCAGTCTCTTAATATTAAAATGTGAGGTCGCTCATATATCCATGTCTCTACATTGTAAATCTGATATGAGACATGACCGATACCGAAATAGCTCGAGTGCCTTTGTTTCAAAGGAAACGGAGTGATTTACACCTGAATCTCCCCATAGCCGAGGTGAAATTTTAAGGGCGCTCTGAGAAAAGGGTAAAAAAACCGTGCAATTACGACTGCAAGTTCACAGACGTGTCTGGACTTTTAAGAGATGAAATCCTTTCTGTTTAAAAACCTGTCAACGGTACGTATAACCGCAAGAACATTTCTGCTCTGGGACTAATGATCGGCCTAGGTTTTCGACCCATTTCCGTCCGTGAGGTAGTTCACCTCCCTCAGCAAACGCGCCGCTTCTCCCCTGCTCTGGCGCTCACCAGCCTCTCAGCCCCGCTGCTGCTCGAAGCTGCCGCGCCTGCCACCTCGCCTGCCACCTGGGCCCTCCGTCCTCCAGCTCCCTGGAACAGTCAGCCTGGGTCCACCGTGCAGCGCTTCCTCCCCTGCTCCTCCTCAGTCCTCGGTCACCTGTCCTCAGGTGGGCCTTGTCACTGAGCCTTAGGTCTCAGGTACAGGAGGCTCATTTCACGGCCATCTCGGTCTCCTCATGAGCCTCGGTGCCTCGGCTCCCCCTCCCCGCCCTTCCCCCACGTGCAGGATGCCTGCCGTTCCTGCTGTTTATCAGGTGAAGTCCAAATACCTGACCCCCACCCAGGCATTTTCGGGGCCACACCTGATTGACCTTTCCCACCTTGTCCCCCGCCTTCTTCGAGCCTCAGCTGCGGGCTGCCTTTTCTGAGAGCCGCACCTGCCACTCACCTGGCCCTGGGTTCCCACAGCACAGGGGGCACCCGGCCCGTCTACCTGGCTCCAGAGCCCTCTATGTGGACACCACCACCGGAGCAGGCCTCTGAGGGCGAGGGTGATGCTCCATGGGGATTTTGGAGAACTCAGTGGTGGCCGGGAGAGGGGGGCGGGCAAGAAATGTCTGTAAAAGTGAGAAGGCAAACTGCTCGCCTGCGTGCCCCCCACGAAGGTGAGATTCGGGCCCTGAAGCCAGAGGCCGGCACCGTGCGGCGAGTGCGGAAGGCCGGGGGCCCCCACGAATTGGAAGCGGGGTTTAGGCGCAGCAGTCCAGGGGTGGCATGACTTTCTCTGCGAGCCGGAATCAGGGAGAAATGCCAGAACACACCGTGTGAGTGCGAGGCGTCTGCGCAGGGGAAAAGGCAACACACACACGTGTGTACATCACTTCCCTGTCAGAGACGCGTGTGGGTGCACACGCATACACACGCGTGCGCGCGCCGTGGGTCCAATCTCAGTGCCCAGACTTGAGCGGTGATCTAAGGCCTTTACTTTTCTACAATTCGAGTTTAATTGCTCTTTGGGCCCATGTTCCAGCAGCCGCAGAAACTAAATATCCACCAGCTGATGGCCCTTTGCCTGAGTGTGTCTCTGTGCCGCGGGCTGATTCGGGGGCACGGCCTGGCCCTGGTGTTGGAAGTTGGATACACACAGGGACCCCAGCAACACGGACACTCTGTGCCCCTCCTCACCCGATGCCCTTTCTTCTCATCCCTGGGGCCGGGAAGGACCGGCTCAGGCTGATCTTGGTCTTCCATCTTTCTGTTTAAACCGAACCAGAGTGTGACTCCTGCTCCCCGAGCTCTGTGGTGTCACGTGCTCTGCGAGGCACCCAGAAGGTGGCACAGGGCAGCACCGAGTCAGACCGCTAAACACTGGGCAAACGCTCCCTGGGAGAACATTTGCTTAGATTTTAGTCATCCTTGTTTTTGGGTGGTGGGGATTTGATAGTTTTGTGCTTTTTATTAAAAAGTGTTTTTTTTTCCCCAACATTGAACATGAATTACTTTTATACTTAGGGGTAAAAAAACCCCAAACCAGTGAATTATGAAAATGCTCCACACTGTTTGATTTTTAGACGTGTCCGGCGTGGATCTCATTGCAGAGCGCGTTCAGGTACGCCCCCCAAATCTACCGTTTAATCTTCATAAAGACCGACGTTGAAGAACGCGCTACCGACCCGATCACCCGTCTCCCCAGCCGTTGCTCAGCGCGCACTTCTTTGCAAGTGCTTGGGATGCAGCGACGGGCAAGGTGGACGCAGTGTCTGTCCCACGGGCGCGGGGTCAGTGAGGAGCCGACCTGACAGACGCCTGGGTCTGACCTGCAGAGCCCACGTCCAGGCAGAGCCAACGTGGGGACAGCCACACATACAGACGCCATCCTCACACAGTTTTGGTCCTGGCTGCTCACGTCATAGCGGCAGAGAAAGTCTGCTCAGTCCTCAGTATTTACGGATTCCACATGTGCAAATTCGCTGACTCGCTAAAACTTATTTGCAAGCCCCAGATCCACACTCTCGGTGCTCCTGTGGCCATTTGTGTGGACGCGTGCAGTGACTCGCCCGACACACACACGTTTCTGGCCGTGGCTGAACAAGGCGACAACGCTCTGCCTTCTGGTCTCGCCTCCTACGGAGTCGACGGAGGGCGGTGGGCGAGGGGACCGTGAGGAGCTCGCGTGCACCGGGTTGAACCCCACCGCCGGCACCTGTTGGTGGGACAGCCTCCGTCACTCAACACTCCTCAGCCTCGTTTCCTCTTCTGTAAAATAAAGAAAATCGAATCCACCTGGGCGAGCTGAGCGGCGTCTGGCTTGGAGCCCGCAGTCTGTGGAAGGGCGGGCACCTGTTTGTTTACTCTTCCCCTCAGAGCAGCGGCTCAGCACTCACGGATCCAGCGTCCTGGCGGCTTCGTAACGACTGCCGGTAACGAGACAGGATGCTCGAGAAAGGATGCTCGTGGTTCAGAGGTCTCCAGCCAGAGGCTCCTGCTGGGCGAACTCCTCTCAAGGGGATGGTTCTGTCTCCTGAGGTCTCCGGGGGTTTGGGGTTGTGTGTGGCAGGCGAGGGGGATCTTAGTGCCCAGGCTGTCCTGACAAAGCCCCATAGACTGGCAGCTTAAACGACAAAGACTTATTGCTTACAGTTCTGGAGGCCGGAAAGTCCAAGGTCAGAATGCCAGCTGATTTGGTTCCCGGGGACACTCTCTGGCGTGCAGTCAGCCACCTCTTTGTTCTCATGGCCGGGAGAGGAAGCAGCGCTCACGGAGCACCGATCCCATCACGCCCCCTCTCCCCCAATGCCCAATCCCCTGTCGAAGGCTCCGTCTCCAAATACGTTGCGTTTGGGATCGGGGTTCCGACATAAGAATTTGGGGGAGACACAAACATCCGGTCCTCAGCAAGGAGGCAGAACCATTGTGCGGCCCTTGTCAGTGGGTGATGACTTATAGAGGGACATTTGGGCGGTCAGGGAAGGACAAGGGCACCCGGCACTTGGGCAGGCGTGGGACGAAGGCTCAGAGACGGGCCGGGAGGCCCTGGGGACACCAGTTTGCTTCCGTGCTATGTAGACCTTGGGCCACCTCACCAATAACACACTACAGGAGGGTAAATCCAATTATGCTTATAACTTCTGCTCTGGGTTAAAAATTGAGTTATGTTTTCAGATAGGGTTTTGTTTTTCATTTTCAATTACCATTTTCACTGACTTATGGAGGCTTTGGAACTTAAAAGTACACTTCTTGGGACGAGGCCACCACATTTGCGTCACAGCCGACAACCGCTACCTTAATCCCTTCATTACAAGCGAGAGATTTATTTTCCCGAGTCCACAGTCTTAGCCAGTGAAGTATCTAGTAGAATTGCTGTATTTTGGGGGCTCTCTCGTCCTCCTTTGCCTACAGGGCTGGCCTGGAGCCCCCTGCCACGCTCTGGGCTGGGCCACTGTCTCATTGCTCATTTTCTGCCACTATGCTGAGCATCATCCTCCCCCTGAGTTGCATCCTCCCCCGCATACACCCCCAGTTCGTACATCGAAGCCCTGACTCCCAGTGTGCCTGTATTTGGAGCCTGGGCTTTTAAGGATGACCAAGGTTAAAAAAGGTTAGGAGGGTGGGGCCCTGATCCATTAGGGGAGCGTCCTTATAAGAGGAGACACCTGGGCTTGCTCTCCATGCAAGTACATACACCCCCAGTTTGTACATCGAAGCCCTGTGCCTGTATTTGGAGACTGGGCTTTTAAGGATAACCAAGGTTAAATAAGGTTAGGAGGGTGGGGCCCTGATCCATTAGGACAGCGTCCTTGTAAGAGGAGACACCTGGGCTTGCTCTCCATGCAAGTACGCAGGGAAGGTCACGTGAGGACACAGGGCGAAGGTGTCTGTCCACGAGCCACCCTACTCACACCTTGATCTTGGCCTCCGGACTCCAGACTACGAGGAAGTAAAGGTCTGTTGCTGACGGCTCCGGCCGTGGTGCTTTGTTTTGGCCGCCCGGGTCGACAGATAGGTCTGGTTGTGAGGAATGGGGTAAGGGCCACGTCACTGTGGTGCCCTGGGCCGGGCCTCGTGGGCCGCCTCCTCAGCCTCCACTCAGCCCCCCGTTTTGGCAAGACCCAGAAATCCCCAGCTAGGGGTTGTGTGGGGTCCACCCTGGTCAGTCGAAGTCCGGCAGCACGTGAATTCTCTGGGCCGTGGCGACCAGTTCTGGAGCGAGCACATTCTCTAAGCTGACTCTAAAACTTGTATGGAGAAGCAAAGAATCACCTGGGAAGGAGAAGAACAAAGCTGGAGGATTAAATGACCTTGTTTTAGGACTTACTGCAGTCCTTGGGGGTCAGCATAAGGGTAAACATGTAGATCAGGGGGACGGGAAGTCTGAAACTAGGTACGCGCATATACGCTCAACTGATTTCTGGCGGAGGTGCCAAGGTAAAATTTTTTAAAAATAGCAACTTTATTGACATAATTTATATACCATAAAATTTACCCAGGTAATTCAATAAATTATATGAAAGACTTACAACTCAACGACAATAAAAACGTTCAATAAAAATAGACAAAAGATTTGGAGAGATGGTTTGCCAAAGAAGAATTATGAATGGACAGTAAACACATGAAAAGATGCTCAGCATCACTGGTCTTTAGGAAATGCAAGGTCAGACCACCAATGAGGAGCTACTACAAACCTAGTAGACTAGCTAAAATTAACATAAATTAAAATACCATATGTTGGTGAGAACGCTGAGCCGGCTCTTGGAGCCCTCACACGCTGTTGGTGGGGATGGAAAATGGTTGGAAAAACAGTTCTTGGAGTTTCCTTTGTAGTTAAACATAAGTGTGCCGTAAACGTTAAACTTACCAGACGACCCCACGATTTCACTCCTTGGTGTCTTTCCAAGAGAAATGAAAACATACGCCCACGAGAAGACTCGACTGTGAATGCTCACGGCCTCATGGTTCACGACGGCCCCAGGGCGACCCCGACCCCGACGTGCGTGAACCGGCCCGTGGGCAGCGCGCTGCGCACCCACGCGGTGGGGCGCGACTCCGCGTGGAAGGCGGGCGGGGTGTCGATACGCGCGGCCACGTGGACGAACCTCGAAAGCATCAGCTAAAACGCCGCGTGCAAGAAGCCGGACACCAAGGACCACACGCGGGGCGGACCCACTTTCATTGATTCGAGGGGAGGCCACAGCGCAGAGGCAGGAAGCGGACCGCTGGTTCCGGGCGGGTCGGGCGCCGGGCCGAGTGCGAAGGAGCACGAAGGGGCTGTCTGGGTGATGGGAGAGTCCTCCGCCTTGACCTTGTTGGCCGCTGGCCCGACAGCGGACTCTGTACGCATTTATCAAAGTTCACTGAAAATAAGTGCGTAAATTCTCTTTTTTTTTAGGGTGTAAATTAGACCTCAATCAAGCTGTTAAAAAAAGTCCTCCCTGGCCTTCCGTGGGCTCTGAGGTGGAGCTCGGCCACCTCCCTCTCCACCTCGCCTCAAGGCCTTGCACAGGACACGGTCGCTGTTGCCCTTGCTGGCATCGGGCGTGGGCTGGGCCAGAGGGAGGGGCCGCTCAGCTCCACGTGGTCACTCAGGGGCCAGGCGCCTCCCACGCTTCAGCTCCTCCTTCCTCTAGATCCTTGAGTTCTCTCCTTTCAGCGGTAAGATGGAGGAAGAGCAAACTTAGAGAGGTACACAAGAGGTTTTTATGGATTTTATCAGATTCTGACGTTCAACAGACCACTCTGAACGGAGCGTTTCGAACAATGAGCACTTACTGTTTTTCATGG